GAGCGGGGCTTTAGCCCTGCACGCACTGGACATCCTGTCCAGGATTTGCACAGGTCTCGGTCAGAAGCCAGCTGAAGCAGTGTGAGGCAGAGCATACTGTTGTCAGATAACTGGGGGTGGTTTGACCTGGGCAAGGAGGGGGGACACCACACTGGGGAATGGGGGAACACTACTGTTGGATCGTGGTGGGAGATGGGAAGAGCATAATCTGTGCACTCATCCTACTGTGATCTCTGGCCTCCGGCTCCACTGTCTCACATTCAGCAACCATGTGAATTACTTGAAAAGTAAAAAGTTTGTTTCTTAGCTTCCCTTTTTTTTTTTTTTTTTTTTTTTTTTCATTTGTTTTTTTTTTTTTTTCTTCTCATGTGTTGGTATTTCTAAAGCATCAAGGCTGTGTTTTTCCTGCCAGTCCTTGCTTGTGTTTAGGGAGGGGTTTGGCAGGCACCACAGGGATTTTCCAGCACTTGGACTCTTTTCAAAGGCTTCTTTTCCATCTGTGTTGTTTATCCATTTCCTTCATTTTTTGCTCAGAGCACAATTAAAGATTCCTGATGTAGTTCCTAAGGCAGAGACTTCTAGCTGTTGGTTTGCTGTCAGTCAGAGACTTGGAGACACGACCAGCGACCATTCAGGCTACACTTTTCATTGTAAAGCCAGGAATGCACCAAAAGTCTGCCCTTCTGGTTCCAGTTAAGATCATTCCCAGTTATGATGAGTAGCTTAGAGGTGTCGGTGCAGCAGGCAGAAGTCCCAGTTCGCGGTAAGGCTAACGGGTTACAAGCGCTGCTTTTGAGGAAACCTATGAGTTGATCTTCCCAGGGCTTTCAGCAGTATTAGAGAAAGTAACATTTGTGACACAATTATACAATGATTTCAAAGAACGCCTTTGTATTTGAACCAACAGTACACTGGAAACCCTCATCAGTCTCTTTCTTCCCTGTCATCTCAACCAGTTTACATTAAAATCCTGGTGTACACATCTAAAAGATCTCATTCACTAGGATGTACTTAAGTGCTGGGGGAAAAAAAAAAAAAAAGAAAAAAAAAGGATGCCTCATTGTTTTCAAGTATCTGTTTTTACCTTAAATAATGCTGCTTTTATTTATTTATTCTGCAGGTTCCTGAAACAAAGCAACCTGCGGTGCCCAAGATCGAATCCCCAGAGGGATACTATGAAGAGGCTGAGCCGTATGATGTCTCTGTAAATGGTATATCACAGCTAATTCTCTGGGGGATTTCAGATGGAAACTGGAGGACTCGAGGTTTATGAGAATGAGTAAAAAGTGCAGACATTTCTTACAGCTTGTGTGACAGATTTTTTTTCTGGTGCTGGTCGTGCTTGATATTACACCTGTAATGGTAGTTAGAAAGAAAAGGCTAATGATACTCAAAGTTTTAATAAGTAGTATGCCTGAGTTAACATAACATCACTGTAAAATATTATAAACGATTGTGGGTTCTCTTTGTCTTGATGGTTTTCTGGAAGACAGGCTGTAGTCAAATGCAGGTTTCTATTGAGGAGTGAGTGAGTGGTGAAGCTGTGGTGGCTTGTGTTCATGTCCTAGTGCTCTAATCGTCCCTTTGGGGCTCAAAATCCCTGACTCTGTTGGTCTGCTAGACGTGATAACCATTTTTATAATTGCCTATTTATTCAGCTCTGTCTCTTGTGGCAGTTTAACCATCTGTAAACGTGATTAGAAAGCCACGCTTCATGTGAGGGGACAGTGTGTGGGTTCCCTCTTTTCACACTCACTCGCTGCCTGGGCTGGCACCTCCCAGCAATGTCCTCAACAGTGCCACCAATACCTGTCACCCATGGGCCCCCCACCCCTTCAGGAGGACACTGCTGCACACAGGCTGAGCTCCCAGATTCTCACTTTTTAAGGTGGATCCTTCTTTTGGTGAACACCCTTCATGAGAGATTTATCTTCCTCTGATAACAGCTGATCTTGTCATCACTGTATAATCCATTTAAGCCCAAATGAGAGATTCTATCGCTCTGCTGCAGCAGCAGATCTCTGCCCATCAGCCTGGACTGCAGCAGAGCGGGTGCAATGATGAATGTTGCGTGGGGCAGAGCTGAGCAGGGAGAGTCGAGGCAAGCAGAGGAGTGAGAGTTCAGGATAAAAGATTTGGATCTAAACCCTTGGCTGTTCAACTGGAGCTGTGTATAAGAGAAGCTGGGTCCTGTCCAGCCCCGGTGTGCACCACTGGGCTTTGAAGCTCCCTGGCAGGGATGCACCAGTGACGCCACTGCTTGAAGCAGCCGGGGGTTGATGTGTCCGAACAGCCCTTGCTGCGTGTGTGCGCCTTGCACACCCAGACATCTCGTAGCTCAGTGTAGGTCGTTGTTCTCATGACGGCCTAGCATTTACAATGCTAAACAAAAAAGGGAGACATAGAGAGATCTTTGCCCAGAGAAGCTGTGGATGCCCCATCCCTGGAGGGGTTCAAGGCCAGGCTGGATGAGGCTTTGAGCAACCTGGGCTAGTGGGAGGTGTCCCTGCCCATGGCAGGGGGGTGGAACTCAATGATCTTTAAAGGTCCCTTCCAACCCAAACCATTCTATGTTTCTGTGATTGTTTCCCTGACCCATCCTGTTTTGGCTGCAACCACGCCACAGCAGTGAACATGATGATGACACCCAGCTGAATGACAAAAGTGCAGGCTCATCATGGCCAGGGTGAAATGTGCCATTTGGTGCAGAGGAGAGGCTCCCTCCGCTCTGCCATGTGCAGTTAGGTGCCAGCTCAGTTTCGCAGAAAGGCTCGGGGTTGTTTGGCTGAGAGCAGGGCTGTGATATTTGGGCGCAGTGGGGTGAAGCCCTCCTGCAGGAGAGTTTCCTCCCCACAGGGAGTTTCCAGTTGCCTGCTCTGTAAGATAAATGGACTATTTTTTTCCCTGATGCACATTAGGAAAGAGGATAATGTGCTAAGAGCCATGGCATGTAAAGACATACCCCGGGATTAGCTGGAGCTTGCCTGTGGATCGGTGTGCTGGGGAAGCCCAGGTTACGGTATCCAGGCAGCTCCATGAACTCCCGTTGCGCTCAGAGCTTGGCTGGCAGGAGCGATAAGCACACACCCAGCTCAAACCTCTGCTTTTCCTTGGTAACCTGCTGCTCAAAGATGCAAATACACCCACCACCCACTGAAATTCAGGCCAGTCAGATGCTTAAGGAAGTGAGAGATCAGAGCCCTGCAAGCATAGTCGAAAAAAGAGAGAAAAGGCCCTTACGATGGGAGCACTGTCAAAATGGGGCACTCTGTGACTGTTAGGAATAGCTGTTTGACCGGCGATTTCGGTGTTGTAGCAAGCGATATCACAGGCTTAAGTGGAGATAGGAGCCTGTGCAGTGAGCAGGGGTGGGATGTGCAAGTCCAGGCAGTCCCTCGCCGCTGAGGTGCATGGTGCCTTTGCCTCCCATGACTGTTTTGGGGGCTTGGGAGGGGGTGAAGCAGGGCATGCTGTGCAGAGAGTAGGTCAGGCAGCGATGCTGGGATGCTGCTGGTGCTTCGATTTGCCTCAAGAGATCAGGCTTCAAAACCTATGGTATCAGGGGCAAACCTGCAGGTCTTGGTCCTCCCCATTGGTTCAACGAGTGCAAAACTGGTCTCCCCATCCCTTTTTCCTCCCCTCACCTTATCAGATGGGCATAGTACCCTGTACCTGTCCTGTGTGGAGTGATGCTCATTGCTAGCAGCTGCCTCGAGACCTTGCGACTGCTGCTGCTAAAGGGCAGTCTGGACGTGCTTGGGTTTGCCCTGGCCAGAGATGCAGAACGTGATGGCAGTAGCCCCCAAGCCCCCTGTGCTCACCCCCCACAAGCTGGGTAGGGAAGGGGCTGGCAATCAGGGAGCTGCTGGTCGTGTTTCTGACAGAGTTACAGCACGAGCCTTGGGAGACACCTATGCGTCTCCAAACAAATGGGTGTAGTGAAATCAAACAAAAATAGGAACATCACTAAAATTAGTGGATGCACTGCCAAGAAAGGACATCCAAGCAAGTCTCCAGACAGGCTGAGGAGATAGAGGATTTGTGCAGCATCAGAGGTGGGACTGAGAGGCACTGTATGTGACAAACCGTGGGTGAATTAATTGAAATGAAGCAGGCAGGCGAGTCTGCTGGGTCTGGGGGTCCCTCTTTCATCAGCAGGATTCCTGTCCCTCCACTGGGGACGCCTCTGCCTTTCATTTTACACCTTCAGCAAATGCTGCTGCTTCCCTTTCCTCCTGGGCTGAAATGTGTTAAACCATTATCGTCCTCGGCTGCGTTTGCATAATTGTAGGGTGTGATAAGAAACAGAGTGAAAACATGAGGGACAACATGACTGCCAACCGAGCAATAATTATTCCGGCTGAAACAGCTCATCTGCCCTGGCTGATTTTAATTACAATGATGATGATTCTGTTTTAAAGGCCTTGTTCGAGGGAGCGAGTTGCAAACGTTGTCCCTGTTTGAAGTCTCACTGTACAGCGTGCTCGAGGGGATGGGCAGCCTCACCGCCAAGGGGGGAGCGCGGGGCTGAGCCAGGACTGATGCCCTTGTTCTTTGCATTTGCTTATCTGTGTCTTTCTCTCTTTGTCTCCCTTTCTCTTTCCTTTTGACTGTGCAGGTCTTTTTGGTAGGCTTGCTGCGGCTGGACCCAGGCCAGGGTTGCAGGTTACTGAGGGCGTTATTTACGCCACAATAACGATGGGTATGGCATGCTTTCCAAACCTGAAGTGCCCTTTTTTTAATTAAAAAAAAAAAAAAAAAGCAAACCCCCCATTTTTAGCAAAGATGATCAGGTGTCTGCCCCTGGCATTACCCATTTACCTGCATGGAGGGTAACCACCTCTCCCCTCTCTCTCCCCATGCTGGTATACGGAAGGTGGCATTTTTTGTGCTTTCCCCATGCTCTAGACAACAATGAAGAGAACTTCCCTAGGCTTTATTCCCCTGGTTCTGGCAGCTGATGTGGAGCTGATATGTGGTAACGCTGGCTGTATTGACAAGTAGCTGTTCAGTTGTAGGTTCTAGGTGCTGTAGGTGCTCTGCTTGGGCAGAGGAAGCTCTGGTGTAGGGGATGGTTGGAGTTTCCTGTAGTACAGTATTGAGTTAGCTCCTTGGAAAGACAAAACAGGAAAGCAGAGGTGGATTAGATAAAGACATCCATGAAAGTGGCTGCCACTGATGTCACCTCAATGAGAGGATAAAGCTGTGCTCTTAGCTGAAACTGCCGGTAGGTGGAAATGGAGACCTTGTACTGAAGTGACTGAGCTGTATGACTTGGGATTGAGTGAGCTCTGGTAGTAATGACAGTGTTGTCTCAAGTCGCCCAAGCAGGGTTTGTCCCAGTTTGACAACTACACAGCCTGGAAAATGCCTTTCCATCATGAGGCTGTAGCAGTGTCACCAGGCCAGCACCGGCTGCAGCTCTTCAGGTAAAGAGCTTATCTCATGAGGCACTTGTGGTTGTGGTTGATGGACAGAAGAGCAGCCAGCGCTCTCACCAAGAGCACGGAAGAAAAGTGCTATTCCCCAGGAGAAAGGTGGCAGCCTGAGACCTAACGCCTATGTGAGGGGCACCAGAGACACCCAAAAGGAGCCAGAGAGGCAGTTAGCCATAGCCCCATGTTGGTAAGGAGGAAGATTTAGAAGATGAGGTTCCCTTAGGCATCCTTGCTGCTGCATAAGGAAGGGTCCCGAGCAGTGCAGAGGTTCAGCTTCTCGGTATTTCTAGGGATGAGAAACCTCAGCACTTTTACTCCACCTGAATTTCTGGCCAGGGTGCCTATGGACAAAATCAGCATAGTGATAATGGTGGTTTTTTCCCATAAAAGGTGGACAGTCCAATATGTTGAGGGTATGGAGATGGTGAGCCAGCAGTGTGCTGTCAGCACCGTTCAGAGACTTTGAAAGGGAGTATTTGCTTTTTAGTAAGTTTGTTTAGTTGGTGCAGCTTTGATCACTTGAGGGATGTTATAGAGTGAGATTTCACTGGGGTAAGGCTGTAGCTTTGTTACTGCATCTCAGTTCCTTTTGTTTAAAAAAAAAAAACCTCAAGAAATGTTCTTCAGTGAAGCTCATAATGGTTTTTTTCCTCTTTTCCGGCTGCTTTTCCTTTTTTTATTTTGCACCAATCTGATAATGTTATTTTTATGTGGATATTAAGATTTGATGAGAATCAAAATTAGATTAAATTCTGCTGAGAGAAACTGAACGATATTCCTCCATGCTGTTTGGTAGGACAAGAATGCAAAACGCTACACATATGCTGATCAAATCTTGCCATCTTTCTATGTGAGCTTGCCTTGTGAATAGGAGCCATACTGTAAATGCCAGCAGAGCACCAGAAATTCCCCTGCAGTCAGTGGGAATATTTTGTTTTGATGGGTCTGCTACCAATGACCAGCTGTTCCTATCAGCTGAAAACTCCAATAACCTACAGTACATTAGAGCTAGGTATGGAAAATCCCAACTCATCCTAATAACGTAGCAATCCATTTAAGGATGAACATAAAAAATGTGATTACTGTTATTGACAGCTGCCATTTATGACTAATTTTTGCTGCTGCGACAGTGTATTACTTCAAAGCCCCTTGCTGTCCCTTAGATGCTGAGAAGAGAGAGACCTGTTAGCCCAGAGAGGGAAAGTGGAATGACGTCTCAAATACAATAGATCATTGCTTCCTGCATGGCCTTGCAAATACTATTTTTACTTCTGACATTCAGAGGACAAGGGCTGATTGTTGCATTTAAGAATCATGAGTGTTTGGCTTGAAGTGAAAAATACAAAAGGCATCTTTGGGGGGGGAGGGGGGAAGGCAGCAAACATCAGAAATGTCTAAGGGAATGTTCTCAAATTTGTGGTCAACTGAGAAGTGTCTTTTGAGTGTTTGCTAACGAGACTATTAGGCACAAAACACTGCAATAAGATTAATATTGGACTAGGAAGAAAAAATTATCTATGAGGGTTATTTTCCTTTTGATTATCTTCCTGTATGAGAGCCTCAAAAGACACATTCCTACGCTGGGAGCTTTTGCATGTGTGAGCATGGCTGAGGCAAGCAATAGGCCCAGAGTTGTCCTAGGAATGTATTTAATAGTAAAGCTTTGCTTTTGTTATAGAAGATGGTGAAGCCATTAGTAGCTCCTATGAATCTTATGATGAAGAAGAGAGCAGCAAAGGCAAGTCAGCAACTCACCAGTGGCCATCCACGGAAGCCACCATTGAGCTGATGAAGGATGCCCGCATCTGCGCATTCCTGTGGAGAAAGAAGTGGCTGGGACAGTGGGCAAAACAGCTCTGTGTTATCAAGGACACCAGGTTGCTGGTGGGTAGATCCTCCACTCTCTGCCTAAAACAACCTATTTTCATGAGCTGGGGAGGGAAGTAGCATCTCAGGCCACGTTAACTAGCTGGCAAAACAAAGTACCTCTAGAAGTAATGCTTCAAAAACTATGCCCCATATATTTGGGGTTCTCGTTCCATTTTCAAAAGGGACATGGACGTTGGACTGCTGAGGGGGACACAAGGGCACATCTGTGGCCAAAATCCCCAACTCCCAAAATACTAGAAATGGTGTTTGTGGAAATTTTCCAAGGTGGTGAAGCAGAAGGGCTGCTTATCCCACTGGCTGACCACATACTTGACCCTCTAACAGTGTCTGTGAGAGGTATTTCAGACTATATGTGCATGTACATAGATGTATGTATGTGTGTCTCTGTACACATAGAGATGTCCTTTGTGTAGTCCTTGTAGGTGTGTCAGCCTTATAGGACCTATAGGACCTTCTTGTGTTCAGTGCACTTAATGCATGTGGTTGTGCTGAGCCACTTCTATGGGTGAGTTCACGCCAGCGGGCAAGAGGGACGGCTCCTCTTCAGCCTCTTACCTCCTCTCCCATCTTCCCTCCAGTGCTACAAGAGCTCCAAAGACCACAACCCTCAGCTTGACGTGAATTTGCTGGGCTGCACTGTCATTCACAAGGAAAAGCAAGTGAGGAAGAAGGAGCACAAGCTGAAGATCATCCCCATGAATGCCGACGTCATCGTGCTGGGGCTGCAGAGCAAAGACCAGGCAGAGCAGTGGCTCAGGGTCAGTGGTGCCTTTGGGCTTGCCCTGCTTCTATCTTGGCTTTGCTGAGAGCCCGTATCTTCTCTCAGTCCTGTCCTTGTGTGTTTTGGCTGCCTTCCTCACTGCAAGCCCGTATACAAATACACACTTCATTTTCATGTCCCGGGATAGCATCTTGCAGCTCCCTCCTGCCTTCTGCATGCAGGAAGCCAGTCACCAGCAGGAGGGATGTCTGGGGTGGGTGTCCACAATGAATTGGCTGAGGATGGGGAGATGTGGCCCTTTCCCTGAGACAGCAGCAGCAGAAGAAGCCTGGGGTGGAAGCAGGGCTATGCAGCTCCTTTGCTGGCAGCCTCCCCCCCGCTGACTCGCATCCAGCAATTTCTGCTGGCTGCCTGCTGCAACACCAGGAAAGTCCCCGGGGTCGCAGGGAGCGAAAACCATGGGTCTCCCAGGCTGCTGTGGTTTTGCCTGTCCTGGGTGGGAGAAGTCCTGATTCCGTTACTGCAGCTCTCTTACAAGCTGTGGCTTCTCCTCTGCACAGGTAATCCAGGAGACCAGCGGTCTGCTGTGTGAAGGAGGCAGCGAAGGCAACCAGTACATCCCAGATTCGCAGCGTCTCAGTTACCCGAAGGTACACCTTTGTCTCTGCACTTAGGCTTTTCCACCCTGTTCCTTTAATAAATAATACTTATAGGTGAAGTAATTTTGTCTGAGCAAAGACTGATATGAACAAAACCCAGACACCTCTTCTGCTGAAAAGGAGTGTTATTGGAACAATCTTAATTTCCCTTTGCAATTTTATTGCCACATCTTTCCTCCAAAACTGACTCAGCATTGGGCTAACAGGGTAGCAGCACTATCTCATCCAACACAGCAGCTGTGCTCGCCAAGAACTTTGGAAGGGACACAGACCCCTGGATGCCAGGGTTTGGGCCGGTCTCTAGTCTAGGTTTAGGTGATGTTCCCAGGGGAAACCTTCTAAGTCTCATGATGCATGTTTTGGGCAGCTGGCCATCTTCTCTACCCATGCCCTCCTAAGGGGACTGGCAAATCTCCCCCCCCAGACAGGCTGCAGGGCAGGAGGCCATAGGGTTGACACCAGTGGTACCACCACATCACCTTAGAAGCGAGCCCAGCCCGGGCAGTTTGTGTGTCAGGTCTGCCCATGCCGGGCTCAGAAACAACGGGGAGGGCACAGTGTGAGTGGGTGGGTGGGGATGTCTGTGTGAAAGCATCTGCTATGGACCTTGTAATTTAGGAGGGGGAGGAAAGGCGCTTGTGACAGGTTCTGGCTGGAGGAACGGGTCACGTGCATCTGCAGAACTTGTGTCTGGTGCTTGTTGACAGGTGGAGGTATCTGAGAGGTACTCTGCAGCCTCTGAGAGCGGGAGCAGCACCGACGGCCACCCAGAGACTGCTGAGATAAAAGATGGTAAAACTTCACCCTGGGAATGAGGCGGAAACTGGGCCATTGATCCTGTGTGCAGCGAGGCTTTCTGTAGCCTTTCCTGCCACTGCCACCCCAAACTGACCTGCTGTGGGGTGAAACCTGCATGTGAATTCCCTGCCTGTGAATTGGATTTCAGTGCTTTTTTTTTGCCCATAATGAAGTGACAGGTGAATGCTGGGATTTCTCAGCAGTTAAGAGTTAGGATAGGGCTTGAGAAACCTGGTGTGATACCTGCTGTACCACACAGATCCTGCATGACTCTGGGCAAGTCACTTTGGAACAGTTTGAGATGTCACAAATGCAACCCAAGTGACTTTCCTCAGAGATGTCTGCAGAGAAACTGGGTGTACCTGTGTGAAATGCTGAGCTGTCTCCAATGGGAGACTTACACCCTAACACTAGGGGACCCAACTCTAGGCTTTAAGCTCCATTCTCCATCTCTAAGATGGGGCAGATAAGTACATTATAAGAGGAGATGCGCTGTTGGAAGGGTGGTGGGACTCATGACTTGAAGGCAGTAAATATTTATGGGTAATGCTTTTTAATTCAGTTTTTGTAGTGTAAGAAAGTGAAGGGCGGTTGGCACCTGCCCAGCACAACCTGTGCAAACAGCCTTCCCCCAGCTCCAGCAGCCACTGGTGTTTGGTCAGCATTAACCCAGCCTTAAAGCAATATAAAGTATCTTGGGCACACCACTTCACTGACATGACTTGTGCCGCTTGCTCATCATATCTCCCTGGGCTTTGGACTATTACAGCCTGTCCCTGAGTCGCAGGTTTGTCCTCTGCAAGCGATGCATGTGCCGCAGCATTGCTGGGTGCAGGATGGCAGCACAGGTGGCTTTGGGGCAGGACACCCAGCTGGTGCAAGTTGGGAAAACCATACATATATATTTTTCTTTTTGTTTTCTGGTAGTTAAGAAGAAGGGCACAACTGGCCTGAAACTGAGTAACCTCATGAACCTTGGGAGGAAAAAATCCAGCTCCTTGGATAGCCCAGAGAGATCCTTGGAGACTTCCAGTAAGTGGCAGCGTGAACTCCCTTGCAGGGACTTATCTCAGGGCTGGGTCAGCTGGAATTCACCAGTTGGGACCAGCTTTGTCCAACCACGTGCAGCCAGCTTGCTGCTCCAAACTTCACCTAAATTTCAAGAATCTCATTTTGAACAGATTTTTACCCTTTTCACCCTGTTTTGTATGGGTAGGATAGCTTGTCTTTGTGCTTCTGCTCTTCGTCCTTGCCTGGGGCTTTGTGTTGTGCGGTGATCTCAGAACTTACTCATCAGCCATCCCCATGCACACAGATGAGTTTGGATTCCCTCTCCCTGTGGGATGGAAAATATGCCTAAGTAACCTGTGCTTGCTTGCAGGTTACCTGAACGTGCTAGTGAACAGCCAGTGGAAGTCCCGCTGGTGTCAGATAAAAGATGGTCACCTCCATTTCTACCAGGACAAGAACCGAAGCAAACTGGCTCAGCAACCCCTGAGTTTGGCAGGTTGTGAAGTTATCCCAGAGCCAAGCCCTGATCATCTCTATTCCTTCCGCATCCTGCACAATGGAGAAGAACGGGTCATTCTGGAGGTAAGGTGTATATCTCCAAGCAAGCTCTGCTTTAAGTCATCATGTCAGGTGTCATAGTAAGCCTAATGCCAGTGAGGTCCTCCACAGAAACCCTCAGTCCAGCCAAACAGAACCTGAAGCGTGGGACTTTGCTTCATCTGCCTGTGGTCACCTAGAAGGTGTCCCACCTAGCTGGTAATCCAGGCTGCGTCTGATGCCGGTGCCTCCAGAGGACCATTCAGCCTTCATCTTAGGCACTCATCTTAGGATGGGATGAAGGGTCCTCTGGAGGTGCCCATCTCTCTCCACTGACTATAGGATAACCTTCGATGACTAAGTTATACAGTTTTCATTTCAGATGGTTAATGTTAGATGAGAGGAATGCCACTTTAGGGATGTAAGTCTGTAGTTAGGAGGAACAAAGAACTTCATCTTCTGGAAATAGAGAGTCCCAAAGCCATGGGTCATGCATCCTGAGTAAACTGATCACAGATCCACCCCTGAAAGTGCAAGTGAATTCGTCTCCATCTGTTACTTTCCTTTGCCTACATCCAGAACTGTTTATCCCTAATCTTAGTTCTCTCTGACGACAGCGTGATTATAGTAGGAGGTGGACAATGTGAGCAATTTCCTGTATTTTTCCAGTGGGTGGAATATTTATAGCTAAACAACCGACTTGGAGGGCCTGCCATGAAGTTTGAAGGTGTTTTTGTTTAGCTTCTGATTCAGGGTATGTCTGTGTCTAAGAAATTTTGCCTAATTACAGATGTGAAGAAGAGGTGCTGGGAAAATTTACATTTTGTGAATGGAAGAATCTGTATTTTTTTGGGATGTCAGACTCGATGTACAGACTGGCTGGTTGGCAGGCTTCCCAGGGACTGAAGTCTCTGCTAAATAAAATAGATTGAAAGCTCAAAATATACTTTCCCGTTTGGGATTCACTTGCCCTGAATTTTATTATGTGCTTACTGCTCTAACTCCTCAAATCAAAGCAAAAGATGGCTGCATCAGCCCACTTCTTGCTTCAGGTAGAAATCCTCCACTACCAGAAAGAGCAGGCGGCGATTTGCTAGAGCTGACTTTGTGGCACCGTATTTAACTCCTCGTTTTGCAAAATATCAGACTGTTCATTGCAGCTGAGAATTTTGTACTGACCATGCAAAAGCGAGGGGCTCTCTTTGATGTTCTCTGACCCCACTTTAAGCTCTTCTCTTCCCCTCTCCCCTGTGCAGACAGCCCTGGAAGGGGTTTGGGCTCTGGCACCAGGAACTTGCAGGCTCTCAGGTCGGCGTTTGGCAATCCCATTGCTGCGCTCTGCTGGTGCAAAATAAAACCCGCACACTTTCCTCGCCAAAGCTGGCTCCTAACAGCATCTGCAGCCCCAAAGGCTTCTTTTACTCTTGTAGGCAGCTGAGCTAATCACCACTGAAAGAAAAATGCAAACTGGCTAGAAATTTTAGGAAGGAGTTAAGCAAAGAGCTGCATTCATATATCTTCCAAATTTGCAAATCAGTCCACAGAGCAGCACTTCTTCTAATGCAGCCTAAGGTTTAATATAAATACCCAGCCATTCATCTTTCTCCTTGGAATCCCAGAGGACTGCCAGTATAGCTCTCTCCCAACATAAGCCTTGGGAGTGCAGCGAAACTGCAGTTGCAACCTGTAGTATGTGTCTGATCACCTCATAGGCAAAGTCCTCGGAGGAAATGGGCCACTGGCTGGGCCTCCTCTTGTCGGAGTCAGGTTCAAAAACAGACCCGGAGGAATTTACCTACGATTACGTGGATGCTGACCGGGTTTCCTGCATTGTGAGCGCTGCAAAGAACTCCTTCTTGTAAGTTCGCGGTAACGCGTGGGGCTGGTGGAGGGGACATAAGTAAGTGGGAGCGGGGTCCCTCTGCTTACGGGAGGTTGGCTGCCATGGGAAGAGGTGGTAAATTTGTGGCTGTAGCTCAGCTGCTCTCTTTGGAAGCTCAGTGCGGGACAGGAGAGTGTTTTTCTTTGTCCCACCATGATGCATCTAACCTGAGCTGCAGCTTGCCATGGGGCTAGGGGCATGTGCCCAGGTGGCCTTTGCACCAGCAGGGTAGTGGGGTGGGCTGGGGGGTACAGGACCGTGGGCACCCACACTGGTTGATGCTGCTTAATGGGCAACACGAGCAGTGATCCCAGTGCATGGCTCCATCTTCTCATCGCTGCGTGACCCTGCCCAGACCCCTGGACTGCTGCATTCAGATGCCCCAAAATTTAGCACAGTGTGGCCATGCAGTGAGACTGATCCCTCCTGATGGGATGTCCTGCTGCCTGGTCACAGCTTAATGCAGAGGAAGTACTCCGAGCCCAACGCCTACATCGACAACCTGCCCAAGGGCCGGCTGCCGCAGGAGGAGCTGTACGACGATGTGGATCTGCCAGACCCGCCTGCGGTAAGGCACCCGGTGCTGCAGGCAGCTGCCCTGCTGCAGCGAGCTCTGCGGAGACCACGGGCAGACATCTGGCAAGGGGGAATCTCCAGCAGTGAAGGGAGAGGGTTTTCACACCCCAGCAAAGGGGAATCCCAGCCCCTGGGGAAATCCAGGCTTCTGCAACAGGGCAGAAGTGGGTGCTCGAGAGGAGTCACTAAGGAATGGGAGAGAGGTTTCCAGGAGGTGCTGTAGGGATCCTCAGGCAGCTGGGATAAAATCCCAGTTTGTATCAGCAAACAGCATGGATTGTTTGGTAATAGATAATGGATTGTTTGGAGCCCGGTCTATCAAAATTCCTTTTGAAGCCTGTGGAGAGCAAGTTATGTGTGCGAGGACAAGAAAGATGGGCCATGCTGGGGATGAGACTGTTATCCTGGGGAAGGCAAAGAATCTGGCAAGGGTTGCTAGAGGTACAGCAGTGTGAGATCCTTGCACAGGGCTGCTGCTACCATGGAAAGACCTATAGAAAGAGGGCAGGAGGGGCCTTTCCTTCAGTACACCAAAAAGCCCTCTATGCAATGACTTAAAGGAACTAAAACCCCATTCTCTAAGGTTCACATAAAATACTTGAGACTGCCCAAGATGCTGCTGCTTTGCAGTGAGATGTTTCCTGTACTTCTGGCTGCAGCAGATGGTCGCTTTTCATGGAAACATTCTCCTTTTGCAGGAAGAAGTACCCAAAAGTGAGAACAAAGTGGAGGGAGACCAAGACAGAGTGTACCTGGATCTCACCCCAGTGAAATCTTTTCTACACTGTGCTAGCAAGAAGTCGTGCCAGGCTTCACCCCTCAGCTCACCGACTTTGGAAAGGGCTGCCAACAAGGCTGCAGCAGAGAACACAGCCGAGATAGTCCTCCAGCCCAAGGAAGCTGAGCCCTGCAGCAAGGCGATGGACACCTCAGAGCAGGTACAGTCCTGAACTGAACTGGCAGGGCCAGGCTTAATCAGCAAGCCAGTCCCCCCCCACCACATCACCCCACTTAATTTCCCCCCTAGAAACACCCAGAGAAGCTGGAGCCTGACGAGGTGCCACTGCGGATGCCCGCCGGCAAAATCCAGGCGCAGCAGCAGAACATCGCCTTCCCCCAGCTGGCCCCCGAGCTGCCAGCAGGCACGGTGACGGCGGGCACAGTGACAGCGAGCAGTCCCCAGCTCCTGCCCGCACACCGGCCCAAGCTGCCGCTGCCGGGTGAGTGGGCTGCACCCCTGGGTGCGGGCTCCTGCAGGGGCTCAAGAAGAGATGCTGCTCCAGGGGTGAGTTTTGCCCTGGGGTTCAGCTTGCCCCTGCTATACAGTAGCTTTGCAGTGCTCAAGGGGCTGCTGCGTCTCTTGGTTGGTGACTTTCCAGATCCTCATTTTTTTTTGTCTCCAAGCACCTGAAAAGGTTTTCCCTTGTGCTTTTTCCCTGTCTGAGCTTGTCTGGGGGGGTTGTGTTTCTAGCAGCAGCAGTGGAAACCAAGCTGGGCAAGAACAGGACAGAGGCAGAGGTGAAGCGGTTTACAGAGGAGAAGGAGCGGCTGGAGAAGGAGAAGGATGAAATCCGTGCTCAGCTCACCCAGCTGCGCAAGGAGAGGCGGGAGCTGAAGGAAATGCTTGCGGGCAGCACAGGTAGAGCGGGGAAGAGGTGATGCATAGAAATGAGCCAAGGTGGGACCACAGGGAAGGAGAGGGTGATGAACTTAGTCCACCTGGGACCACGAGGGGCTTGGCACCTCCAGCAGGGAGAAGACTGGTTCTCTGAGACAAATCATGTAGCCCAAATCACACGAGAGCAAGAGCTCACTTTGTCTTGGTCCCTTTGGGGCAAGATATAAGGAAAAGGTACAGGAGTAATAGATGCTCCAGTACCTGCCCCCCTCACGAGCTTCCCGAGTGCCCTGCAGCCCCCCAGAGCTGTGTGCTGAGGAGGGGCAGTGCAGAGCTCCCACCAGTGCCTGGGCCCACCCCAGCTCTGCACATGGCCCCCAGGAACTAGCCCGCACCAAGCAATTCCTCGCTTCCCAGACAAGGTGCTGGAGCAGAGGCTGAAGGAGATAGAAGAAGAGTGCAAACGGAAGGAGAGCCAGAGGGTGGACCTGGAGCTGAGCCTGGTGGAGGTGAAGGAGAACCTGAAGAAGGCAGAGTCTGGCCCTGTGACTCTGGGCACTGCTGTGGACACCACGCACCTGGAGAACGCAGCCCCCCGGGTACGTGGGGGGCACCCCTGGGAGGGACAGCAGCTTTCCAGCAGCCAGGCAGTCACACTGTCTCAGCCTGCTTAGTAACATAATAACAACAATATTATATATGGAATCTTATATAAATTACAGATGCTATTTATACACTAATACATTATTATATATAATATGCATAAAATAATGTAATCAGATAACAACAACAATGTGGAGGTGAAAGTGGGCTGGGGCTCAGGAGAGCAGCTGTATTTCCCTCTGGGACCTTGAGCAACATCCTCCATGGCTGTGCAGGTCTGGGCCCAGCTCCTTCTGCGCCCAGCTGAGCCAAGGGGTGCTTTTGGGGGTTGAGATTTAGGCATCTAAATTCCTTCCTGTGAACTTGGTTGCCACAACATTGAGATGGTCAGTGCCTGAGCCCTGCTCCATCCCTCTGCTCAACACCCAAACACACCACACATGCACATCCTGGTGGTGTTTCAAAATTCGCGTGTCACTGAAAACCACATCTCAGTGCATGGGGGATGTGACTGCTGAGCTTTTCTAGGAGATGGTGGGAAAAGGCAGCAATCTCTCTCAGTAGCCTGAAGTCATCACAATTTCTATTATTTTTATTGTAGGTTCAGGTAAAAACTGCCAGTCCAGCAAACAGCACAGAGAACTCACCAGTCAATTCAGCAACGGCTTTAAAAAACCGGCCTTTATCCGTCATGGTGACAGGGAAAGGAACAGTCCTACAGAAAGCTAAGGTAACGCACTGATTGGGGCAGAAGAAAAATCCACCTGGGAGAGCCGCTGCTTCTCCCTCCCAGCCGTGGAGCAGACTGGCTGTGATGGGATGGGGCTGGGGGATGGGGGGGGCGGGTCTCACATCTTGGTCTGGGAAGCACCCCTGACCAAGCACCACTGGTTTTCCCCTGGTCTTCTCACCTGAGCTTGCACTGGCTGCGATTTAAATGAATAAATGTGTGTATTGCTTATAACAGAGAGACATCCCTCACCCATCCTGTGGCCAAAACCAGTCAGGTGCCAGGTGATGGGGTTAATCCTGTGCACACTACAGCTACTGTGGCTTGCCAGAGTTGCCTTTTGACTAATTTGCCTTTATTCTTTGGCAGGAATGGGAGAAGAAGGGAGCCAGTTAGAACCACATTTTTCAGAGATGGACTAAAGATTGGAGTGGCCATGCATGGCCAAGGGGATTTAATCATTTGTAGGTGGAGGTTGGGTGTGTAACACAACCACATACCAACCGCCTCCTGCACATCGCGCCAACTGCTCAGACTCAGCAATGGAGTCAACAGCTGCCAATACGAATTATCCCAAATCATCTTTCTCTTTCCAGACAAGTCCCAATCACGTAGCTAAAACAGTAACAACCAGTGGCAATCCTTGCATCAAATTCCTAACCCAGTTGATGTAAACAAGAATGTTACTGTACATAGGGGTGTTTTGTGTATCTCTACTCTGAAGGTTTATCAGTGAGTTATTAAGGTTTCTATATTAGTGACAGTAGTGGGTTCAGAAGGGGCCCCCGCTATTCTTTATACTCTGGTGGTTTTTAACCGGTTGCAGCAAGTTGCAGCCAACTCAAGTCTCACCTGTCTTGCTGCCCATCATCACTCAGCTGCAGACATCCAGCCTTCAGTCCAGGACAACACCCACACCTGAGCAATGCTCAAGACATGAATGAGGAGCACACAGCAGCCTGTCCAGGGGATTTTTAATCAGTGTCCCCATGCATCCCAACATGTAGTTACTCTGACCAGCCTGCTGCAGATTTGTGAGACTATCGAGAAGAGACCCTTGTTCACCTTCTCGTGCTGTAAGCTGTGCTATGCAATGGTGGCAAAGAAGATCTGCCAAGCACATTCAGTTAATTTTCTTGAAGATCCTGATCTGCTTCAGCTGAGGAGTTTGTTCTGAAACAAACAAACAAAAAAAATCATATTGGAATGCTTTTTAACTATTTATCAAAGGCCCAGGGCTGCTCAATCTGTTGGACAGGGAAGCTGGATCCCAATGCACTCTAAAGGGGTTGCCCTTTCCAAGGGGAGGGGAAGTAAAGCCATCCCCATGGTCCTGGCCCAGCTGTGAGCACCACTTTGCTGATGCTCTCTGGTCCCCACAGAGCCACAGCAGCACAAGCCAACCCCCAGCTGTACAATCTGCTGCAGACATCCCCATGCAAAATGGGCCCCTTTACAGGGGCAGGGCTCCGTGTCCCTGGTGGGCTGCTGGCCATCTCGGTGCTGTCACCCTTATTTCCAAATAATTAAACTTAATATAGCCTTTGGGCCCTGGTAGTGTTGCCCACAAAGCTCACCCCTCTCTGCCCCAGCCAAGCCTTCTAATGAAAGATGTTGGACATTTGGGACTGCTAAACTTAGAGACATTGAAATTTGAAGGGGGGGTGTCAGCAATCCATGCACCCTCTGCTCCCTGTAACCTGCTGTCATGTCTGATGGCCTGGAGACACCTCTGATAGTCCTTCAGCCCTGGAGCCCTATCAATAACAGGGTTGACTGTGTGGGGGCTGCAGCTGTTTTCCAACCTTGCAAAGCCCAAGCAGCACCGGTACCCTGGCTATTCCTGGGGTCCTGCAGCTACAGTGATGGGCAGCACACAGAGCCAAGGTAAACACAAGACAGGCAAAATGGACTTTCCCAACATTTGAAAGCCTTTAACAAGCCTAAGGACACCTCTAAAGGGATGCTCCTTCTTCACACAAAGGCCCAACAGTTGGAGGGGGTATGAGCAAGGATGTGCTGCTGAGGGGCTCTGGGCTGGTTCACCACCTCCACAGGGCTGGGGAGTAGCAAAGCCCTTGGTCAGGGCATCCTGGAGGCAAGAAAGGTACCCTTGCTCCATTTGCTGTGGTGGTTTGGTTTTTGTTGGTTTTTTTTGTTTGTTGGTTTTTTTTTTCTCTTACTTTTAAAGTCCCTGCTGCAGTGCAGGGACTTTAAAATTTGTTAGTCCCAGGGCCCCAGGAGGAGTTAATCAACCCCAGCTGTCAGGCTTGTCCCTGTGCAAGGTTTACACGTAGGAAAAACTCATGCAAATAAACCACTGAACCTTCTGGTTCTGGAGCCTGGGGACTTTCCTCTCCAAACCACAGGGAGGCCATGAACACTATGAAGCTTTTGTTTTGCCCCATCATGAGCTGGCAGGAGACCCTCTCTACACCCTAAATATATATGTAGTACCATGTCCTCACCATGCACCCTGCTGTCATCCTCCAGAAGTTGTCCAGACATTTCACAGTGGTACTGCGACAGCGATGGATGAGAACAGCTCTGCTTTCTGCACCACAGCCCCGACAACTTCAGTGGTCCTCCAGGGATATCTCTATCAGGGGATGGTGAACATAGGCAGGTCCTGAGTGACATGAATTCCCAGTACAAGAAACGTTAAAACAATGTCTCCGTCTCCCCATTGTTCTCCTAACTCAAGGCATTTCCTTTGTTGTAACTGTGACCTATAAAGTGGCGCTTTAGAGGATTTTATAATAAAATGTTATGTTACCAGTGTTTTTTTCTGTGTAAAGAGATTTGTCCCTGCTCTAACTTTCCAGCAGATTTCATGCACATCAAATCCCCAACACTGTTAGTTACGATGAAGTTCCTTATCTATGCAGTCTGTAACTGCAATGGACTATATCTTAAATAATTTACTTCTCTATAACGACTGCAACATCAACCAAAACTTTTTCAGGCAGCTAACCCACTGAAAACAGCAATAGCCCAGACAACTTTGCATGAATGCGTGTAACAGATTCCTGCCTGTCTCTCAGTCACACAGTCCTCTTGCACAAAACCAGCAGAGGAAAAAAAACCAAAACGCATCCACTACCTTCCTCTGGCCACTAGATAGCAACTGTGTGCAAGGCTTAGTGCCTGCTTGCAGTCACCGAAGGGAAAAAACAGGATGGGGTTGCACTGCAAAGGAAGGGAAGTAGTTGAGGCCAGTCTTTACAGAACAGACACCAGACACGTTTGTGAAATAGCTTTTGGTGGCTGCACCACTACTAGCTCCCCTCCCGCAGTTGTTGCTGGTTTTGTGAGCTGAAGGGGCAGCAGCAGTTGCTCTACTCCTTCCTCAGCAGCACTGCCCTTTACCTATAGCCAACTGTGTTACAACATCTCGGTATGGGCTCCAGCTGCCCCCAGCACACCTCTGCCTTTCAATCCCCATGGAGCATCCTGGTAGTAGACACAGCTGCCAGGGGTCATGGCTGCACCCAGACTGAAAGGCTTGCTCACCCAAGCACCCCAAAACCTCAAAACAGTACAGGCACCAAACACATGTGCTCATCACAAACAGGCATGATTTTGCTTGCTGAGGGAAAGTTAAGACTAAAGGGGGTGAAATTCAAGGCACTTACTTAAATCCCAGTTTCTTAAAGGAGAAACAGGCTCTCTCCTGAAGTTGGCACATGGCCCACAACCAGCCAAGGCTCATCCAGCAATTACACAGAGTGGGAGTAATTCTCAGCTCTACCAGCAACAGCCCAGCCACCTAAGGACGACCTGGCACAGACAGCATGCTCTGCGCTTCCTTGATGCCAGACAGGATTAGCACTGGCTTTGTAGGGACCCCACCTCCTCGGCGGCTGTGCCAGGCTCAAACATTGACCCAGACTTAAGGGTAGGAGCTCCCATCGGGTAAATTCTCATTAAGTATTTCTGACTGAATCAAAGCAAGTCTGTGAGAATGAATTTAATAAGGCACCATGTCAGAGACCCAAGTCACTTACTATTTTTTTGATTAAAATTTGCAGGAGAAAGGGCCTAGAAATTAGCCAGGACCTTCAACGCAAATTTTTAAAAAGAAAAAACAAAACACAACAGCTCCAACAACTGCTCAGCAATGTCTTGCTTGCCCATGGGATCAACAGGTCCCATATATCCTGATCCTATTATCAGATCAGCTTTTCCCATCTCCTCCCAATGCCCCAACGCCCCCTTACCTCGCAAAGCACTTTGTCCCTTACAGAAGGACAGCTGGTGGGTGCTGCTGCCGCCAGAGCACATCTGAGCAACCATCCAAGGCTTCAGCGGTCAGTCACATTTAGGAGGAAAGTCACAGTTGCAGCACACGTAGATCTCTGACACTTGGGGATCCCTGGGGCATTCTGGGCACTGAGACCTCAGCCAGATGTACCCCAAGGCTAAGGGCTGGGGTTTAGGATCCAGCTTTCCTGAAACTCCTCCATGAGTTTCCCATCTTTTATACCACCTCCACTTGAGAAACTGATGCACCGGGCTGGAAGTATCCCATCCCACATTAAAAATGTTGTTTCCAGCATGAGATTTCAGTATGAAGTTCCTGAACCACACAGAGAGGTTTGTCTATCTGTGCTTAAAACCAGCAGGATGGTACAAATGCAGGGTTTCCCCCAACTCAGGACCCAGGCAAGCATCCTTTGTATTAGTGAAGCACATGCACTCAAAAATGTACTTAATTGTTACGTAATAAAATAAAAAGAACTTACAAACAAAGATGACATCCAAACCACATTTGACACAAGGCAAAGTGCTCAGCAGCACCGTACAAACCATCCTGCAGGCAACAGAGATACAAGAAAAAGGCTTTACACACCTGTATGAGGCTAGGAAAGCACATCCCAGCTCCAGAGCTGTGTGCCAGACAAGGTAAATATGCTTCAGTTTGAGAGGGAAGACTGATCCTGCAGATGACAAATGCCTGTGAGGAGTAAACCAACGATGCTGTTAGACAAACTATAGCAGAAACCACCAGGGAACTGCAAACCCAATGACATAATGGGGCAACAAGGGGGAGAAGTGGCAGTCTCGCTGCCCCTTCACACAACGGAGGACGGTTGGTCAGGAAGGCTGGGGAGAGCTTTCAGAGCAGTCTAGCTGGAACCCAGCCAGTTCCATGGATGCTTCTGCACTATAAAATACAAACCACATCTTCAGATATCAGCCGTGAGTCTGATCTAGCCCATTCTGCCTACAAGAGATGACTGACAGGTTTACAGCAGCAGCTTAGCTACAGCCATGCTGAAGTACCATCAATAGATTAGTTTCTCTTTCAATCCCAAATGTCAGCCCTTCAACTAAGCCTCTGTTCTGCTGTGCCTTAGGACACAGGCGACCTACTGAAGTGGCAGTGAAAAGGAAGAGGAAATTCCTTCTCCTACTCTGGTTTCTTTCTCCTTGCTGGTTTCTCCCACAAGGTACGACAGCACTGCCCCTGTCTCAGTGCCAGCTTTCATCCCTGAGAGTGCTTTAGACCATTCTTTTGACAACGAACCTGTGGAGTAATTTGTGTCTCTCTGTACAGATAATGCTACTATTAAAACATGAGGCCAGGACATCCGGGTGAAGAGATTTTTCTTTTTCTGGGAACAATAGATGCTATTTTCACAGGCGCTGGCAGTCTCTGCCTCAGCCCTGTCCGCAGATGCTTCTGCTCTCTGAAGGTGATGGACACCATGGGAAAGGCAGCAGAGAATAAC